TTATAAAAGGCAGGAAGTATAAGAAATTCATCATGAGTTCGATTTGGGTTCAGGTAAACAGCTTTGCCTTCCCTCTTTAGGAACAGAAAGAAAAGTAAGCGTACAGCCGCCTCCAGTGAAATGAACATACCCCTGGCCTACTTAATCATCTAAAGATATTGTCAGTCTGTATCATGTTTCGTATCTTAAAATTAGATTAAGATAATCATGTTTAACGGTCTTTGTAGAAGCTTTATATAAATTTGAGCATCACTGATGTAATACCGATATGATATTCAGGAAAATAACTTATCTATAAAATATATAGCAATTGTCAATACAACTTGACATTTTGATTCATGTCAAAATTTCAAAATAAGCAAAACCTAATCATGCCTACATTGCTAGAAAGTTTAGTTTGTCGTCAGATGATATTTCAATGGCACGAAATAATTGAAAAAACAAATATTTCGGATTGATTAAAAAAAAGGAGAGGGGATCAATGTATGTCATGGTAATCAAAATGAGAATTTTATTTCAATCATATTTTATATAGAAGATGCACAATTTTTTGATAAAGCTATCAATCGAATTTCAAATCCGAATTCCGTTGTGGTCGTCATTCTCTAAGATATATTCACTGACATATCATGGTATAACGCCGACTTTAAATTAGCTGAAGTATGAAAAATCAATCTTACTGGCACATGTCTGAACCGCTGTATAACTGTTATATAGCAATAAGATGAAATGCTTTACCACAGAATTTTCCTGTAACTCAGTAACCCAACAAAATAGTTGCCTGGATATTATCCTGAACATTTAAAAATTATAATTAAAATTCGATGACAATTACTTCGATTTTATTTTCTCGTTGGCCTACGTTATTTTGTTTATTTTGCAGAGTGTTTTCTGTCTTTCTGAAAAAAGATATCAAATTCTAATCAACAAGTGTGTAAGTCTTTAAATCAGAAGAGACTACGTTCATGGTATATACACACCAGAATGAATTAGGAATCACGGACACGACAAACTCTTATCTCGACCTTATCTTACAATGAAACCAACACGGGCATATTTCCACCCAAATCTGACGATTTCAATTTCCCTATTATGAATTTGCCATTTCTCTTTGGTTATGTCCCTACATTCCTAATCTCTGGTTGTTAGATGTGGCAGTTGATTCGATATTCAAGGGGGGGGGGGGGGGGGGGGGGGGGGGGGGGGGGGGTCCTAGTATCACGATGTTAGTATAAGACATCGTCAATTAACAAATAAATACATAACAGTGTTTCGAGAGATTCAGGTTGATAAAAAAATTGTGTGTAAGTAATAGCTACCTCATTGAAGAATATCAAATTTGAGTTTGGATTTTGATTATGTTCACATGTTGGTATTTTCATGATCATTCTTCAACGTATGTTGTTAACTTGAATTGGGGAAAGGATCAAATACAAGCTTTAAGCTTGTTTCCCGTCCTACATGTACTGTATGTTTATGTGATATTGTTCAATATTGAATAAATTCATGTTATGATTGGATTCAGTAAGACTGAAATTCTTTATCTGGTATTCTTGGGTAATTGCCTTTTCAACTTTGAAAAGAATGTTCATTTTTTCACTTATTTTAGAAGTTAAAATCATTTGAATATACCAGGAATCACATTATCTGTATCGAAGATAATCGAATTATTCGTATGGTAAACATGTCGACAGATACCATTTGGCCCGCCACTACTGTCCTACATGATGTTAAATACACACATACCCTTTTTTCTTCAAAAATCGTTATTTTCCGAGGACGCTTCTGACCATATTTCCATATTTGGTAAAAATACCTTCCATGTAACGATAGAAAACAGGTAGGATATCTCCATTGGGCTCTTCCCATCATGCTGCACACCCACTTTTAATACAAGTAAATTGTTCTTTCAAGGATTCTGTTGATCAATTACAATAACGAGTAATATTGTTGGCCATTCAATATGCATTCAAATAATCATAACATCGTTAATGTACAAAACAATACTTCTCGATATTGTTAATATAATAGTCACGGACTGAACATGACCACGGGTTTTAATAGACCTTACAATGTCAAGGGTAATTTTTTATCATGAGTAAAGCCCTTAAAAACATCCAGATCATCAACGACAAATAAATTAATGAAAATGATCTTGTTATTGTACTATGTAATATTTCTAGGCCCGAGCCAATATGGGAACAAGGTTATGATCAGAATGCTCATGGTTATATATATATATATACATATATATAATTCATTATTGGTTAATGAATATACAATATATTTTAGTGGGAAAGTATTTTTTCTGATCACAGTGTCGTTATGGATCTTCAATTATCGTGATGGATTCCTCATCACAGTCTTGCCCTATTTCATGACGTAGTGAACGTTTGAAGACGTTTTAACGAGATACTTTACACATTATAACGAGATAACAAATGCGTTAAAAAGAGATTAATAAGACATTATAATAAGATGACAAAAGCGCTATAACGAGATAGCCAAGGTGTTATAGGGAGAGAGCTAAGACGTTATAAAGAGACAACTTATGTGTTATAACTACATAACAAAGTCGAAATAATGAAGTAACAAAGACGTTATAACGTTAGACAGTTCAGCATGTCTGGAATGTTCATGGACAACGTGTGAGAGAACGTCTAAACCAGGCGGCAAATTTGCAGGAACTGGTCAAAGCCTTGAACGATGAATGAAGCGTCCTGAAGCTCATAGGATTACGTGTTCCATGTTATGACGTTGCAATGCTGTTTACTCGAAAACAGTGGTTATAACCGTTACAAATGGTGTAACATTTAAAATCGACCACAAAATCCATGAACAATAAATTGATCAATGACTTTATTTGGTTTTCATTAATAAATATTCATAAAGGCAGTAATGTATTAATCAAAACATAAAATAGTGTTTTCCTTCTTTTTTGGTTTCTCTAATAAATGTCATACAGATCCTTTCATACTGTAATATCTTAACATTTTCTTCAGCTTTTTTTTTCGTGCTTTTTCAAAGTAAGAAATATCGTGGAGACCTAATGTCGTGGATAAAGGTATTCTTATTGATAATTTTATAGTGTAGGCATGTTGATGCAAGATAGCCGTACATACATGTAATATAATAAATACTGGTAATGCGTAGTAATGTTTGAAATTTTGTCTTTGCATTTGGTGTCAAGTCAGTATGATTTGCTGCATACACATATCTATAAAATATCGAAGTAAACTTGAGGAACACGTAGAATTAAGCATAAGCGCATACATCTCTGAATCGTCAGGATCCTTAATTATATAAATTGCCTAGATACATTGTTACTAAGCAGTAGTGTTCTTGAAGTTGTCGAATATTGAATTAAATTTACTTTTCTGGTCCATATTTCATTAATGAGTCATAAATAGACATTCTATTGAGGTAATCGGAACGCCATCAATATTTGTAGAATTGCGTTGGAGAAAACGTGCGTGTTTACATAATTATCTGATGTAATGAGTTATAAATTTGTCTATTTCGTTTGATTAAAGACCAATTGTTCAATTTTTGTGATATTACTGTTGTCGCCAATCGAATGATCCATTCTATTATAGGAATGTATAAATAGCTTCATTTTTACGTAAATTAGAACACGTGGAGACATTTCTTTTATTGTTTCGAGAATAGCCAGTATCATAAATCTTGTGATATCAAAAGATTTTTTGCTATTTTGAAGATTAGAATGAATAAAAAAAATAGGTGTTTGAAATTGCAATCAAGAAAATTGTGGTTTGCTAGGTGATTTTTATTTATAGATAAAATCTCATTTAATGCCAAATTTACAGCTATCATAGTCACAATACATTTAATTCACCACTTAACGTTGACAGCTAGATTTGACATCTATTAGTGACAATTAACAAACGATGCACCACACAAAATCCGAATACGAATACATAAAGCTAGGATTACTTACAGTAAACAAAATAATAATAATAATGGTAGTGAGCAAAACCTAAATCGAACGCGCCCATGTGTAAAGAGTAATTTCTTTGGCTTTTACACAGGAAGATGATACCAAAGCCACATCAAAAGATAAAAAATAATTCTGTAATCTTTGACGTTTACCATCTGAATAGCGCCATTTTGAATGAACCACTTCTCGCAGTATTTTACCGTTCTATGATTTTATCTCCTAATTGAAATTAAAACTGTCAAAAATTTTAAAAGAAATAAAAACCGTTGTGAAAAAGAAAAAGCAATATTAAGCCATTATCGCAAGCTCCATCTTCACTTCACTCCGAAAATAGGCGAATTTCAAAGCGGCGAATAGAAATAATAAAAAACGTGATATGATAAATAAATAAATAAGATTTTATCTGATAAAATCCTTTTTGATATATAAGATTTCACCACCTTGTTGGCAAATATATTATGGAATGAATATTCGTTTTAAAAAGTTCTGAGAGATTCTTAGCAAATTCCTTCAATAAAATACTGTATAATTGTAAAATTCGTTTACTTCGTTGGCACTGTCAGTTCCAGAACTCCTGTATTAGCTACATAAGAAACAATTAAGTGGACATACATTTTCAGTATTTCCATGAAAATAACTGTCCTCGAAACCGTTTTGGGGTAAAAAAAAATACGATATCCCTGTAAACTGAATTATGTAACAAGGAACAGGTTTCTAAGCTATAACCACCTGTTATCTCTTAAATTGTGCCACTCTTCTATAAAATATGGAAAAGAGACCAATATGAATGACGTCATCAATCGATTGACCAAATTGCTTCCATAATTAGGAAGAATTGGGTAATGATACCTCATTAGTCTTTGTTGTTGTAATCACAATGAACCCTTGCAATCGGCGACCGGACAATTACTGAATATTAAAGAGGTCAATAAATAGAATTATATAGAATTCATAACAACTGTACAGAACGCGAAACTGCAATCCACATGTTAATCGTACTTGGTTTCAGGTCCACAGAGGACGATCAAGCATAAATTGGGGAGACTCCCACACTCATAAGTGCGTTATCAGATTCATTTTCAACGGCTTACACAAATGTATTAAGATATTAGATTTTAGATCATAAATCATTTTTCATCAAACAACAAAAGGAAATATGCATCTTAGCAATCAAAATCAACTTTAGACACATTTAAGAAAGGAAATATGCATTTCACAAATTGAAATCAATTCGGAACGCTTGGTAAGTGACAGATATTCGCTGTTTCGAAGACTATCATCGACCGTGATCTCTGGCACAGTATGACCACTGGGAGAAACAAGCATCTGAAAGAGACACACCCATGTCCATTCATCTCATAGTTATTGGGAAGCAATGAATGCGTTTCGATCATTTATTAAGTTGAAATGAAACGAATCCCTGTTGGTGTAACTACCACTTAATAAAACGGATGGAATTATAGTCTTTATGACATGTTTATAGATTTCCCAACAGAATTCATCAAAAAACATTATTCCCACGCAAAGACAGTCTGAGTGTCGTCTTAGCAGAGATTGAAATGTATAAATACTGGCTGGACTAGTCTTGGATTGATATCGCCAACATTCCATTTTATAGGGCTAACTTTTGCGTTGCTGCTTTTTTTCTGTAAAACTAAAGGTAAGTCTTTTCTTCATAATTTTTGTTTCGTTTGTATCCATTGTATGTTTAGTATTGGAAGAGCTGGCGTGTTAAAATATATGTAGACGAAAGTGCTTTGGCATAAAAATTTGTTTTTTCCCTCTTTTGAAACAGCTAAATGCAAAACAAGAAATCGGAATTCAAGAGATAAAGGTATCTTTCTATCGTCCGATTTTCATGATATAGATTTATAACGATGGAAAATAAAGTGATCTTTTAGTAACATAAAAAAAAAAACATTATGTTTACATAAGTATTTCTTTATTTGAAACATCTGTATGAATTGTATTTTATGGAAAGAAAATGACCTCACATGATTACAGTATTTTGATAGACGCATTACATCTATATATCTTGAAAAAGACTTTCTTTGAGAATTACTTAGTCACGAAAATAAATTATGAAATCAATACTGAAAAAGGGAATAAGCTATGGCTATTATCTATTAGAGTATAAACGGAAGTTAAGGATTTTGTCACCAGAGTCTGTCTGTAGGCAAAGGATTTTACATCTCCTCTATACTCAGTATGAAAATATTAAGAGATATCAGGTGATATACACTACTGGTGGACTATTAGTCCCCGAGGTTAGCTGTAACCTGCTTGTCACGTTTGATTCATACGAATGGTGCAACAGTTCAGAACAAATATTGACGCTCTTTAAAAATTAGCAGATATATGAATTTTATGAAATTTTCTTAATTATGGGGCAAGTCTACATTTTGACATTTCTTTCGATCATTTTGGGTTTTCTACAGTCGCCTCCTTGGTTTAAATGGTAACCCTGACTGATGAGACCTGGATAGACAAAACTGCTGTGTGATTAAGTTTAATTCATTGTTTGGCTCTGTTGTATTTTATCTAAATTTGTATTAAAAGGTGTTTTCACTTAGCTGTCTTTTGTGCAAAATACATAATTAATCTTTTTGAATTTTGTTCAGTTCTTAGTTATACTCTTTCTAAATCGGTCATTTTCTAGGTTTCAGTATTGTAGGACATTGGCATCACTAACGTTCCATAGTACTATCAAACAGCTGCATGATAATTCATATTTAGTCATACTGTATCTAATTCTAAAAAGGTACTATTCACTTTGTCTTTAATGCAATCTTCCAGATTTCAGTTCATAAACGTCTTTTTTCAGTCCCGGTGGTGTCCCGATACCTTCATGACATGATTTGATTCATTTGAACAGAATATACACATGCATTTTCAGATATTTTGCAATAATTCAATATTGAAAGATAAAAGTTTTCTTGGTACTAGACCTCTCTATCCGCTGGTTTTGATATTATTGCAAATAATTTTCCATGGTCACCTTCTAGTTATCAGCAATTTAACTCCTTATCATCCTGACAAGTCGGCGCTTGAAGGACGGAACAGATGTACGAGGTCTGATCGATAAGTTGTGAGCCTTGTATTGAAGATGTGAAGCGAGAGGTCCTTTTTCAGTTCCACTATTCCCTGGCTATTTAAGGCACCCGAAGACTGGTGTCATTTGGTCAGTTTATGTCGAAGAGATAAACATATAAATAAAACAAGGCAAGTGACTTTTGCAAACTGACAACACGCTGTAAGGGCAGTGATTCAATATTTGCATAAGAAAGATCTAGCACCTACGGATATCCATACTTATATGGTAGCAACACTAGGGAATCATGGCCCTTCATATGATAGAGAGAAAAGGTGGGTGATTGAGTTTAAGCGCGGCAGACAGAGCCTTGGGGATGACGCCCGTCCTAGAAGGCCTGTCACTGTTGCAACACCTGAAATGGTCAATATAATTCATGATATTGATATATTTTGACTGACAGAGGTTTGTGACAATGGATGAAAGGTAGGTTCATCATTTCACTCCAGAGGCAAAACAGCGGTCTAAGCAATGCAAGAACCTTGGTTCATAGCCTTCAGAGAAAGCGAAGACTGTTTCATCAGCTGGAAAGGTTATGGCCACGGTTTTTCGCGATGATGATAAATTATCTGCAAAACGAACAAACAAGCAATGGCACATATCACTTCTTTGGCAGTTAAGAAATAATATTTGACTCAAGTTTCACGGTTGCTCCGCCAAGACAATGCCCATGTACACAAGTCTGTCATCGCCACGGCTGCCATTAATGATTGCGGCTTTGAATTGACTGAGCATCCACCTTTTTCGTCAGATATCGCTCCGTCTGACTTTCATCTATTCCCCAAAATGAAAAGGGTCATGTCTGGTACCCACTCTCGGTCAGATAATGACGTCATACAAACAGTGGAGGATTTTCTGAACAGTCAAGAAAAGGACTTCTTTAAAAGTTGCATTGAAGCCCTTAAACTTCGGTGGCAAAACTGTATAGATACTGAAGGGGATTATGTTGAAAAATAATGCGATATGTCACAAGTCATACCCTTACATATAAGGCTCACAACTTCTCAATGAGCCCGTGTACATGTATGATGCAGTTTAAATAATATGATAATTTTGTTCCTCAGTGTATAATTCTAAATTTGTGTGTGCTTTGTACAATCATGGCATATTAAGACGACATGCGCAAAAATTCTAGAATTCAGTTATATGCATGATGTACAACAGGAATTGCATTGTTTTCTCAAATGAGATATATGTTTAATTTTGAATATCATTTGATTCTCCGTGAACGAAATGAAGACACATCTAGATATATCTAGGGAAATCTTTATTAACGATTTCAGTTGATGCATTACAAAAGGTTTTTCTATTCATATATCGTTTGGTAATCCATTTGTACCGAAGTTTGGAATGCAGAGTAGTATCATACTATAACTAGTGTCTTTCTTCTGGTTCATTTCAAATCGAGTAACGTTATCCCATTTAATAATGTCTATTAAAGACATCCGAAAGGGCTTATAACACCGGCGGTCTTCTAAAAGTACTTCAGTTAATTGTGAAGAAAGAAGAGTGTTTGGTTTAATGTTCTAATGGACTCTCATGGTACCAATGATACGTCAGTCGTCATTCTGTTTGTAAAATGATACCGTGTTTGTCCTAATATAACAACAACTTTAGACCTACACTTGTATATACTAGTCATTAATCTGAGAATCATATATAACTGGCGCCAATTACCATAATTTATTTCCTTATAATTGCTTCTCAATACAACACACGAAGAAAAGTACAGATATTATTACAAGATCAACCGTATTAACATATCAAAAATATCTGTTAAAGCAGCTCGTCATTAATTTAATACCAATATTGAGATAAAACAGAAACGTTTTATTCCGCTTTTAACCAGTTTTAGGCGTGGGAATGTTTGCATTGAGAAAAGCGTGACTTCAAAATGGTTATACCTTAAAAATATATTAATTTATACTTTTGTTAGTTATTCAGTTGTGGAAACAGAAATACGAGTTTCATAGGATTGGCTATTAATAGCAATAGGTCATACTATCTTTTGAAATAATTTAAAATATCATGTCCATATTAAAACAAGAAAAGGCATCATAATTCAAGCACAAATTTAACCTAACTAGGTCAAAATATGAACAAAAGAAAGATTTACGAGACACCTGAAAAAGTGGGAGGAGAATAAACAAGTTGTTTCCGAAGAGTTAGCGTCTTCTGTTTCATCAACGACTCCCACCATATAAGTATTTGTCAATTCAAATAAATAATGGTACCTTTCCAAAATGAGAGCAAGCTAAGCAACAACAACAAATCCGTTATACTAGCGATCATCAAGCACGTCCAGCGCCGTATCGCATTAAACGTAAAACATTCCCAGAAACTTTAACAACCTGGACTCTCGAAACCCTTTGTCTGAGTTTGTCTTGCACGGAAATCGTGGTACTGGGAACAAGCCCTTGGTTATCAAATCAGCTGCGCATGTACACGCCATAGGTTTGGGATGCAGAAATGTTGCTATTCAGAAATGGGAAATGCACAATAGGAAAATAAAATCATGTTTTAAATTAAATACTTTGGTGGAAATCATTTCCATGTCGGTTTCGGTGTAAGAAAAGATCGAGGTAAGCAGCTGAGGAGTCTGTCGTGTCCACGATTTCCAATTCTGTTTAATAAAAGCAATGAAATAGTCTGTGACAATCAATAGAAATGAAGACATATTTTCACTGCTATGACCAAAAAATGACAAAAGAATAACTGTACAAGATACCATTTAGTTTCATTTAAACGCATTTGCTAACATTGGATCCATGTTGTCTTGCCTTCAATTATGGGGGTCTATCAATTTCGAGATGTTTCAGTTTCATGATGTGTTTACATTTGTACAAACCTTTTGACCAATGATTATCAGAGTGACCGTGTGGTAGCGTGAACGGGGTCGAATTTCCTGATCGGATGTTAAATTTCCTTTGCCCTAATCCGGTTTCCTTCTATATTACGATCTATCGCGCACACCCATATTTCTCAAAAGTCGAAATATGTAACTTGTTTTTGACTTTTGTAAAATGAAGAATGAATCATCGAAATGATTATAACTTAATTCTGGACATAAGGCCTAACATCAATGTTTAAATGAGGACTACGTTCCTACAATCTACAAAAGACATCGGTATAAGTGCCAAACATTTACATTTATCTTACGAGTTACGGCATTAATTCTCGGTATAACGTTAGGTCCTCGTACATTCGACACTGTACTACTTGTAGACCAAATATTTGTCGCGTGGTATAACGTTTGACCTATGGAATGTTATTCGCCATAATCTGTATTCTAACTGAGATTACTTAGTCGCGTGGTATAGTGTTTGACCTATAGCATATTATACGCTATAATCTGTATTCTAACTGAGATTACTTAGTCGCGTGGTATAACGTTTGACCTATGGAATATTATGCGCCATAATCTGTATTCTAATTGAGATTACTTAGTCGCGTGGTATAACGTTTGACCTATGGAATATTATGCGCCATAATCTGTATTCTAATTGAGATTACTTAGTCGCGTGGTATAACGTTTGACCTATGGAATATTATGCGCCATAATCTGTATTCTAACCGAGATTACTTAGTCGCGTGGTATAACGTTTGACCTATGGAATATTATGCGCTATAATCTGTATTCTAACTGAGATTACTTAGTCGCGTGGTATAACGTTTGACCTATGGAATATTATGCGCCATAATCTGTATTCTAACTGAGATTACTTAGTCGCGTGGTATAACGTTTGACCTATGGAATATCATACGCAATAGTCTGTATTCTAATCGAGATAAATCGTAGACCAAACATTTGTCGCGTGGTATCAAGATTTGTTCAAAACAAAAATAACGAGCAAGTTAATGATTAGGCAATACATGAAACTAATCTTTTATAGATTATTGTTCTATAAGGAAAATGTATTAAAAGCCATAACGACCAGAACATAGCAAAATGATTGCTTCCCATGGATATTAATACATCCTAGTATTGTCCCCGGGGATCTGTGTATGAGCTTGAAACCTTAGAATAACCACTGCGCGCTCATAACATATTGACTTGGATTGATAAAATGATACTCTTAACAAATAATTCAACTGTACTAGAGGATGTTGTATAATCATGTCTGAGTGCTCGTGTAATTAAATCATGAAGAGTTTGAACAAAATTGCAGAAACCTTGATATTCGTGTGTTATAAAAACTTAGTATACCGATCCCTTTAATTGTTGTATGAAAACTCATGATAACCCTCGTAATTTTATTTTTTTCCAGGAAAAGGTTTGGTAACTTATGAAAACCCTCATTAGATTTCCATCATATTTTTTCTAGTGAAAAAGGGGGTTTGATAATACACCAAACGGTGATTATAAAGTAAAAATGGAAAAGTGAATGTGTATATATCATTGGCATTATTCTTTTAATTACCATCTGGGTCGATATTGTTGTATCAAATATTTTAAACATTTATCTAAACAATTTATTATTGATACAGATACATCGGATTCTGAAAGTGAAAATACATCATATATTTGCTTAAAATCTCATGATGGACTTAATAAAATTTTGAACACTTCAAAGTCAGTGTCAAAAGATATTTCTTTATTATTAAATAGAAGATATCTAAATCAAGACATTTTTAATTCAAACTCGTTTTATTTTTCAAAGAGGTTATCTCTATCAATAACATAACGACCACATTAAATCTTAATACAGGTGGTAAAGAGGCGACTGTATCAAAAAGAGGAGAATTAGCGTGGATACAAACAGTTTTTAGAATTTAGATGAAAGCAGCGATTGTGTTTACATACCAACTGAGTCACTATATCTTATATGCTTAACTCATGTTCATTTTCAAGAAATATGCTCTGAAGTTTTTAAGTTTAAAGTTAAGTGATGTATTTTCTATAATTTGTATATCTGTAAAACGACCACAAGTTGCAATAATTTGTGTCCAATCCTCTTGTCATATTTTGCAACAAAATATGTTTAAACTAATTATCATTAAAATTAAAGTTTAATACATAGCAGCGAAACGAAAGATTCGAAAACGAGTACTTAGTGCCTAAATTATTTTGACCCCTTATTTGTCTAATTTATTCATTGTTCATTTGTCTGTTAAATGAATGTGTTTATTAATTATAATTGTGTATACTTGTTTTTGTTTATAGGTAATGAAAATCCACACAATACGACAGACTTACAGTGTTACTGTCATCTTCTTCATCGTCGCTAGTGTCTACACAGAGGCCACCTTCACCCGCTCGCTGTGTGAAGGCAGATGTGAATCCTCCACCCCACATCTACAAACACTTAAGGATATGTGGCATAAAATGTCAAAACGGATAGGAAAACAGGGCAAGTATTTATCATACAGTAGAATTTTATACCTCAAAAACACCAGCTACTATGTGTAAATGATTTGTTCCAAGATAATCCTTCATGAAATTACGACATTTATATACTACATGCACTCATTCAGTTTGCAAAAAGGCAATTCTTTCATATCAGCATGACGCTAGAAAATATTCAAATCAAAGCTTAGGTTAAGGTAGGAAGAAAAAACATTGTCATAGGCAACATAGAACAAATGGTGATTCCTTTTGCCACAACCTTTTCGCACCATGTGAATTCTCTGTCAATCTATATTTAGAATCTACTACTTGTTTGATGCTTATTAGGTATAACTGCCGTTGAAATTGGCTGAAAATATCGCTAGATTTAGCGCGGGAGTAAACCGTTATAGATAACGGGGAAACAAATTGACTATTTATCAAGTATCCGTGTCCGAGACCCATAATAATACGCTGCTAATTAAGTATAAACAACATTTATTTTTCGTAGAACATAAAGCGACTTGAATCTAATAGTGATCGTTATCAGAACAGAACTTTGACTTACGAGAGTAAGTAGATTTCAGTTTAAACGGTGAGGATATTTTGTTGATGCTATTTTCTTAAGCACATTAAATCATTTTTTCCTATTTATTGATATCAGTGGAAAGCAGCAGCGGGAAAGTCTGGTGTTATAACATCATATATCGTTGGAAATAGTCCAGAATTGGCAGCATTGAAAAAAGAATCATTTACCACCGTACTCTCTTGAAATTTGCTGCTTTTACTAAATATATATACTGTAGATTTGTAATCTCCTTACAGATCAATCTGAATAAAAATTGTTCATGAAAAAAATATCTGCAGTTTATAATTTAACAGTATATTTCAACTAAAAATGACATATGAATTAAACAAATAGAGAAATCCAGTGGCTTTATACTGCCAATCAAATATGCTGAAACAGCTTATCTGTATTATTTCATTTGGAATCGGTTCAAATGACTGAAGTGATTTTTCACACATTCATTTTGTACAAGAATGATACACAACAGTAATCTTTGTTTCCGTAATACCAGACACTGATCCGTCAATTAAACCGGTCGATTCTGTCAACAAAATCTAAACACAGAAAATGAGATGGACAATTATGAGAATATATGTAGCATATAAATTTTATCGTTATTAGTGTGATGGCATTTTTATAAGTAGATCGGCTTTTATTGTACTTCTTTTAGATACACAGAATACCCAACAGTATATTAATACAAGATAAAAATCATATCAACAAATACAAAATGTATAAACATTTCACGTTGAAGCCTCCAAATATGGATTACCAGAGGGGATTTCATTCGTACGGCTTGGAATGTGGTTAGTTCAATGTCCTTTAACTCTTTTCCCACCGCGCCACCGCGCCACCGCAGGAAACATTTTGATGACGCAGAATTGTTCGACATTTTGTATCAACACCTCTCCAATGATGACGACAGTGTTACTCCTTGTTCTGATCTATAACTACATCTTGACATTATAGAAAGAGAAGATTCTGTACATGATGGTTAAGTATTTGCTGAGATTTTGGTACCAGGTTTTAGTGAATGCACTTTTTTCACGGGATTTTGATAACGTTATTACCGAGGTAATATAGTTGATATCATCCCTTAGGCACTAATACTGACAAATTTCTTCTAAATGTTGGTAGTTCTAATCACTCTTCCTTATCCTAATGTATAATTTTTTTTATCAATTTTCGGAAGCCCACAATTTCATTTTTGTCTTGTCGCGGCCGATTGTCAGAATTCCCCCTACATAAAATTACAAATTCAAGCGGCCCATTCAGGCAATGTTTTATATAGTTTACAACAGAGTGATAGTTATGAATGATATATCGATGGAAAACTAAAGCATTTTCCCCACACTGACTTGCATATGTGCAGTCGGGGGGTATTTTAGATGGATTTCGCATCGTGGCGGACATTACAAGAACTTGAAAGTAAAGTGTAAAGTTGCAAGGAAAGGAATGGTTAGTTAGTAGAAAAACTTTTTTATCGATGTATCAAGCATCTTTGTAAATTTCCCGAATGCTCACATATACAATTCAATTAGTTAATTACGTAAGCCATAGGACTTGTACAATACACAATGTTGACACAAATTAACATGTTAAACAGATTAATGATGTACAGGAGAGTAACTATATGTTATCATATCGTCCACAAACAAACACAAGAATCTGATATTTCTAAAGTGACTGAGAGCACTACTTGAAAGCAAATTTTATATATTTACCAAATTTACACAAATCTTTCCTGTTATTAACACTGCGCAATTAAACAAGTTCAAATACACCGGGACGACGAAAGTAATATGGCTACAGGCATCTCACCCGTAAATCTGCATAAATAGAACACTTACGTATAAAGTGAAACTCATCCTCAATATCATTAGTATGACATAATATACAAAGTCTATTGGCCCTTGATACATTATTGTATCTTCCACTATTAAGCTTATGAGAACTTCAACAAAAACATGAAATTATTCTCATACAGCTGATCGCGAGGATTTTTCATGTAATATTACAGCCCGAAATTATCTACTAAGTGCTCATACAATGTTCCTTTTGGGTAATTCTGTATTTTAGATAATAAATCTTGCACGTGCTAAATCATTATTTTTTGCTCTATTAACTAATACACAGTTTTACTTTCGTGACATCGCATAAATACCCTAATTCTAAGTTATTCAATTCTGATGGTGTATTTATAATCCAATCATCTTTATCAACTAGTCTCTGTTCATAACATTCTTTCAATATACAATGTCTGTTTCTTTCAATTTAACCCAGTATTTCAATGTTTTCATTTTCCGAACAAAATAAATGGGAAGTCTACCTAGTTGGTAATACACAAAGTCAATAAATGTATTTTACCCACGCCTAGCGTATGAACCTTTTCCACTTCTAAGGCTTTATTAAAAACACATACATGGTGCCACACTTGTATACCCAAATACACTACTTACATAGGTGTCGTACACAGAACATAATATTTCAGTATTAAATTTATGGTTCTTTAATTTTTTTGATAATGCAAAAGAGGCTTTCCATCCCTTTTATGTTACTAGATGTTGTGGTTTACAAAAAAATCCGTTAAAATTAAAATGCGGGATAATTGAATTCATTAACAAACTCTACCTCCTTTACAACATTGATTTAAAATCAAATCTTCAGTACAGCTTTTATCTCTTTTCAGATTTCTGATTGCAATATCAACTTCATACTTTCCGTAAATGTTTGATCTAATTCTTCAAATATTGTTAAATCTATGTCGTCATACAAATTATGTGTAGTAGCATCAATAACATCACTGTTACTGCCAACACCTTTTAAAATACTTTTAAAATTCATCAATACTAATTTCAGATTGGGATGGTCTGTTTTACACTCTCAAAAACATTTATGAAACTCCTTCGGATTGTTCTTTCTAAGGGCCCAACCATATTACTTTGCTGTCGATGATATTGCCGTTTTTGAATCTATATTCCAACTTTTTGTAATCCCATTTTCTATTTATAAGAATAATATGGTTCTCACTGGATTTAGAAATATTATAATTAAACAATGCATTTTATACTCATTACATCTCGTTTTACATTCTTCAGTAAATCACGGTTAGTCCTCTCTCGGATTATCGGAACTCTTCGGACTAATCCAAACGGTTCTTCATTTATTGCTATTTCGTGTCTCCGCGTGTGGTTTGAAAACAACAGCTATCATTTCAGACATATAATTTATCATTTTTATGACGAAACAAAACAGTTATTACCACTCCTTTTGTTTGGTGGTACACAATGTACAGACGTAATCTGCCGTGGGCGATAATGTAAAATATTTTTGGTGATTCCCTCACCAATATACAACAAAACGATGACAACTGGAGAATACAACCCTAATTTTAACTTTTATTTTCAGATATGTCATTTGAGGCGTTCGTGACGTCATTGGTGGCAGCTTCGGAGCGGTATACCTGGCTGAAGCCAGTACGTGGAGACCTACTCGGAATGATAGCCAAATACCAGGACTGTGTTAAAGCTTGTGAACACCAACACAGCAAGAGGACTTCCGAAAGAGCATCCGATTCATATGTCCGACCGGCACTATGTACGTAGATCTGATAAATGCTGATGTACATATTGCATACAGCGCAATGGAATCTTTATGCTTTTCCATATGAAATTTATACAACAGAATTTTGGCGATTAAAAGATGTCAACTAGTTCGAAATGTTAATATTTTACGTGATTACGTCATGACAAAACATATAAACAAGCACTCGTTATCGTAAACGAATCATATACGGAACTTTCTTTTTTATTAACGATACAAGGATAATTCAAATAAATGATAACTTTAAATAACAATTATATGTGTGTATATATATATTAGTTTATTTCTTAACACTTTTTGGCGTATTTACTGGAATATACTGGAATTATCAATCACAAATCTGATACAGATCGCTTATGTAATACTGGAAAAAATAAATAGAATAATTTAAAGTACTCCATTTTGAATGTACTAAGAATTCTTCATTTTTAATTTTCAGGTTTAACGAAGGATTTCTGCCTTTAGCTGATGTATCTATGGTTACCAAGAACTGTCATTACATTTTTTAAAAACGAAACTAAATTGCAAGCAAAAAGTTAACATTTAAGTATAGCTGAAAAGGAAAGTAATATCTAGAAAAATCTAAAGAAATGGAAATGTAAAAATGTTTGTATTACGTATTATGCTTTATAAGCTTTTACTGAAACATTCAGCTAATATTCATCTCTCCATTTCAATTTGTTATATGTGTAACAATGCTGCTGTAATTCCACATCACTATACTGTTTGTAACTATAACATGAACTAGTTTTTGCTAAATTTGCAAAGTTGCTCATTGCAAAAAAATATCGAAATTTTATATATCTGATAAAGCAGTAGAAAAGACATGACTTCATGCACGATTCTTTTACAAACAATGAACTTGGTAAATGATATAAAGTTGTGCGATATCGTTATTAAAGTAAATGTGATCCGCTGAGAAACAAATGTCTCTATTACAGTACTAGTACCTCGTATGCGTGAATTGAGGTAATGTAATAAGTCAGCTGTAAGAAAAGAACCCAGGTCTCTAAGTAAGGAAGTCGATTCGCAAAATAATAAAGTGACACAAACTAGATTTTTCATTCAGTTCAGCAACTTTTGTACACTGAACTCCAATTTCATCTCATATTTCCAAATTATTGAAATAAAAGAAAAAGTCTTGATATGACACTTGTGTTTCTCTTGATCCTTGTATACACGTCATAATACATTGTATAAGGTCTTCTACTTACATAGATTGTTTTTTACAACGAAAGCAACAGAAAAGGCTTTCTAATAAGCTCTAAGATAAGCGTTGTTTTCAATTTTCATTTTGTGGGTGCTCTTCTTCTTAGCTATCATTAAATATTCTTTCAGTTACTACTAAATGAAACGAGCAGAACCAGATTATCAGAACCAGATACAACACGGTTGAGAACGATCCCATTACCGCTTATTTTGGACAGTGCGTTAATAAGTATACGTTTCAAGATAAATGACATTAGAAAACGCTCACCCTTCCGGAACACCTGGTCATATTCTTGTATTTTTCAGTAGTCTCCGTCAAAATGTTTCCTTTTCAAAAAATTTTAAACGTAGTTCCAGCAACTTCGAGTTTGAATTAGATTTTGTTGACATATAGATGTTTTCTTTGTCTGTTTGTTGTAAGAAAGGTCTAGCACCTAAGTATAGCCAAACTTATATGGTAGCAACACTAGGAAATAACGCCCCTTCTTAAGCTTAATTGAAAATGTGGATGGCGGAATTGAAGCGTGGCAGGCAGAGCCTTGGGGATGAAGACCGTCCTGGAAGGCCCGTCATTGTTGCAATACCGGAAATGGTCAATAGAGTCTGGTATTGTTTTGGCCGACAGGCGAGTTAAAGAGGGAGATGTTATACCCAGTACAGACTTCACAGGAAAGAGTACATTCCATTCTTACGAAATGTCTTGCAATGAGAAAGTTCTCAGCCCGTTGGGTACCAAGACTTCTGACAGTTGATAAACAGCACACCAGGTTGACTAAGTATTAATATTTGACTCAAGTTAAACTAAGTGTTGCTCCACTAAGACAAATATCGAGCACATCTAACTTCATATCATACAAGGCAATTGCTAGAAATACTAATTAACAAGCTTTAAACACATCTCATACGCCCCAAATCTATGGTGTTTACATGACACAGTTGATTTGATATTCAAGGGCAGGTTTCCATTACTGCAATTGCCATGCAAGAAGTCACCAACAGACGGGCAAGCTCGTAACACAGGGTTTCAAAAGATGCAGGTTGTTGAGAATTATGAGGAAGTTGTACAGCTATCATAGTGATCTCATCGAGAAACATTCTATTTCTTTGTTCGATATGAAGCTGGATGTGTCAAATGCTTGCGAGTTTGACTGTTAGTGTCGTTGTTGTATGTCGTATAACCTATTTTATGCTACCACGACTTCTGTTTATTCTAAGTTTGTCGACCGTTTGTTAGGTCACAAACCTTATGCCAACCAAAAGATTGTTGGAAAGACACACTAGCGAATAACATCTTATAATACAAATTTAGAGTTAAGATACACATAGGCAACATTCTAGAAAGTTGTTAAAAGGGGGTTCTGTTTATCTACAATTGTATCTGCAATTTCACTCGTCTTAGTTCCATTGTGACATCATACCTTTATGGTATGCACAATTACATCACCAAAGCAGCAGACATTGAGCAAGTATATTGCCAACCTAGACTTTGTATCAGCAATGCAAGAGGGCCGTGGCCATTAACAGCCATATGATAATCGCTGAGTAGATGGACAAACTACAGAATTCGCTGATGTTGGTTTGACAAATTTGATGGATTCAAATTTCGAACGCTCCTTTATAAGTATCAGAAAGCCATAAATGGTAGGTTCTGTTCATGAAATAAGTTGCAAAATCATGTTACAAAATGGCAACTGTGGTTATCATGTTGAAGCTTTGGTTGGGCTGAAAAATATCAACCAACCATCTCTTTCTTTTCCTTAATAAACGAAACAAGCATAAAAATAGGATTTGGTCAGGACCATCTAAGGATCGATTCAGACAAACTGGAGTGCAATATCACTGGTGAAAGTTGAGAGCAAGTTTGAAATAGGTGTTGCACAGGAAAACCATGATTGCACAAGCATGTTACAAAATGGCCTCCCTGGCTGCCGTGTCAAAGTTTTGAAAAGGTCGAAAAATAACAATACTTTGTTTGCTACCTTTCCTTAATATTCCCACCAATTTTCATCTCAAACGCACAGTGAAACTGGAAAGAAGTTAAAAATATGTTTTTCAAGACTGTGACCATCTTGGTCAGCACTTGGTCAGAACCCACTGGTCTAACTTTAGAAGAAGTTTCAAATGTAAAAAGTTTATGCACAGCGGACCACGCCTGAGGAAGCACAATGGCTATAGCTCATCATGATCCTTCGGGTCAGATGACCTAATAAAATGCTGTTTTGTTTGCTATTTCCAAAAAGTATCTAAATTATGTGATAAAGAGATTTTTGAATTTGTTTCCATTTCCTATCAGATTTATAAATGTCTTCATAATTTTTTCATCTTACCTCTGCAGAGACTCTGTGAAATTCCAAGTCTGGTTTTCAAAAATCTCATATTGTGAATGGCAGATGCAAAACTTAAAATTGCTACACTTATGTGATAAATCTAAATCTATGTTTGTAAATATAATTATCTTTCAAATAACCACAATAATCCAAATAAGAAAAATGATTTTTAATGGTCAGCCTGAATCATCATAATCTTTGTTTACAAAGACTTCCGTGAAGATTTAACTTTTTTCTTCGAGGAAACTGGTCGTGTGACAGTTTTATTCTTGGTGATCATTTTCTGTTTTTTTGCTGTGGTCACAGGAGTAGATTCCTCAATTTCACGTCCTTTTCGTGATGATTTTACTGGTACTGACTGGGCTAAGTTGCGTTTTGAAATCCTAACAGCATTTGGAGGTGTTTTAAAACTAATCTCATCATCCTCACTGTCACCAATGAGAAGTGATTTCTCAGCCTTTTTTGACTCTGATTTAACAGCTCTTTTAGACTTTGGTTTGCCAGTCCTTTGAGGTGTCGATTTGGCATACTTTCCAGCCTTTGACAATGCAGTCTTTTTACATTCCACCATCACATCTTTTTCAGACATATCTGGAGAGGCCATAATTTCATCCTCCTTGTCAGACGTATGGTTTAGACTTGACTTCTGTTCTTGTGATGCTTCGAGTTCTTGCATTTTCTTTACCTTGAGAGCCCTGTTTTTGGCTCTCTTTTCCTTTTTACGTATCTTCAATTCTTCTTTCTTCCTCTGTTCAAATTCCTGTTCTATCAGTCTTCGGTCTCGATTTCTCTGTCGGTTTTTTTGCACTTCTACAGCAAGCTTGCCTGATTCTTCCTTGAGTTGTTCCTAAAAAACCGATAAAAAATTACTATGGCAGTGCAGATCACAATTTGATATACCATATATAACCAGTTTAAAATTTTTACCATAATGTTACATAGCAAAATACTGAACTGGCAAATTTTAATTGAGGAAGCATTACATTATAAATTTCCAGTTCATCAATGTGAAAAATATGACATGGCCCAAAATGAAATATTCTGAACCAAATGGCAAAATTTGCACAAAGCGAATTTGCATGTGGCATTATAGAGCCATAGGCCTTAGGTTTAGCATAAACTTTCATGTATTTCTTCTATATATATCACACATCACAACAAAATAAAATTAGTATCATCAGATTAATATATACCGGGATATATTTCCCAGTTTCTTATTAACAAGAGTGGAAACATTCAAGTACAAGTCTATCCCCATGGCAAATATGTACACACAGGTAAATATACACACAGTTATTTACATAGTAAAGAGAAATATCAACACAATGCTACATTTACAAGATAAATGCTGAACATCATTATTTTTTAGTTCTATTCGTCAATACGTTCAGAGAATGAAACCACAAAAAACAGATACTTTGAACTGAAATGGATAGAAAGCAAAATCTCATGAATTCTATTAAAAAGGCAACACTTTTGCTGTAAGGTCTTGGTGAAACTGCAAAAATTCGAACAATCAAATGAAATAACATTTACTATATCACTAGTAAGATATTTCTCCGGAAACAACATTAACATAGATATCTCTGAAAGAAGAAAAATAATTGAAATTACTACTGTATTAATCATTAATAAGATTATACATACCATGCCAGCATAATTAAACTCGATTCCTAGAGCTTTAAGTTTTTCTGCCTTTTTCTTATTTTTGGACATAAATCTCCTCATACTCTTCAGCTGGTCTTTTTGGGGTTTTGTTTCATTGTAGTTATGGATGTTCTTTCTTCTGTTCTGAAAAGGCACAACTTTTCGGCCTGACCCTTTGAAGGTGTCTTCATGCACATTTTCATTTGGTATGAACTTGCCTGCAATGACAAACAAAAGTAGGTGCCATTTGACAATTATCAATCTCGGAATTTAAAATTATGATATAAATCAAAAACTTATATTCTTTAAAACATTTTCCCCCTTCTAATATAAACATTGTATCTTATTATCTATGTATACATCATCAAATTTTAAAATATCATGAAATGAAAATCAATGTGATTTCAATCAGGTACTAAAACAACACTTTGTTATCTCAGTTTCATCTTTTTTATATTGATCTAATATTTTTCATATTGTTAGATTTAGCACTTTCAATAAAATTATGTGATATTCTTCAATAAAAATAAACATTCATAGATACAAGTAATTAAATCATACAAACAGGTCTCCTAATAAGCACTTAAAGTTTTACAAGTACAATTTTTTGTAAACCTCATTTATATCTAAAACTGACACGTAGATAATCCAAGATTGCTCTGGTGGCGGAAATCTACACTAAATTGAAAAGAGAAAAAATGTTACATATGAAATTACACATGATCACTACGTTAATCAATCACTTACATTTCAAAAGCCTTTCAAACATGAGATAGTTATTCATTGTTTCCGCCACAACTTTTGCTACATCTTCGTACAGAAATTCCACAAAGGCATACCCTTTACTGTGTCCAGTCTGTAAGGAGAAATTCACACTGAATTCCATTTTATAATTTTAATTACCTGTTATGCAGTATAAGGACATTTCATCAGTGACTAAAGCGTGGAAATCAAAATTAAACTTAAGGTTTCATAAAATCTCTAAATTTTAATCCAAATGTTGGAGTTTTCATATTTCCATTAGAAGTATTGAATACCAAAGTTTATCATGTATTTGGGTGCACCACTGAAATAATGTAGTTCCCTTTTTGGGCCCTATCAGTCACATTATCAATGTTATTCCTCATTACATTAACTTATGGCAGCTTGTTAAAACACAACATTGAGATTTAAATTTTTTTTTCAAATATTTCCATCTTCTATCCTGTTCCTGCCCTCTCAAGTGTATAAAAGTGATGCTCTCTTACTTTAATTTATACAAAGCTGACAATCCTTAGCCAGCCAATGCCCCTTACCAAATATATATATATAAGAATCTCACAGCTAACCAGAGGTTAGGTAAACAATTTTGTCAACAAAAGTTGAACGTTTGAAATGAACATCTTTCTGGAATTTTCTGATGATTTCCTTTGTGACATCACTATAAAAGATCTCTCATGGGAATAGCAGAAATTAGTTTATTGCATGAAGAAAACACAGTAAACGATGTAGTAATAAATGATATTAGTCAATAATATATATGACATTGTAAGTATAATCCTAACATTTCCTCTGCTATACCTTTACGCTCCGGGAAAGTTTGAGACGTGTGACAGTACCAAACTGTCCAAAGAAGCTTTTCATCTGTGGTTCAAAAAATCCATGTGGTATATGTCCAAGGTAGATAACTCCTTTGTCCGCCTTGTTTTGGTTCTGTAAAATAATAGTATGCATAACTTACTCTTTACTTATATTGTGCATAGTGACAGCCATTGTAAATATGCTGAAAAATATAGTTGGTAGGGAAAATGAGTGGAAATACTTAGCTAGGTTTACAACATTTAATTGTGCGACACATACACAGGCAAGTTGAAAAATATTTTATCTTTCATTCATGTTTGATTTATAACTATCATTCCACTGCAAAATACATGAAACATTACTTGAGGACAGACTCTGCAAGGGTCGCCAGAGTTTGGTATTTGTATACACAGAGAGGAATTCTCTCTATTGACTGCTGCCAATCTAACAATAAAATAGCAGATTGATAGTCAGAATCTTTCAGACAGGTAAATTCATGCTCATCTATGACATTTGCAATGAATGCTCCCACAGGTTATACACTCTTAGTAAAAGGAGACCAAGGTCCGTAAATAAAATTGTCATTGTAACATAAAGTTTGGTAACAGAAATGAACATTTGTTGTGAAATCATATACATTGTCACATTGACAGTTGAGTCATGTTAAAAAGATTATGCCCTTCATTATTTTTTTTTTTCTTTAAAAAGAGCTTTTTGTGTCTCAATTTCAAAATGATACAGCTGCATTTGAGTAACTTGCTGATTACTCAAAGCTGTAATCATTTTATTATGACATTTGCACTACATGCTCCCAATGACTATATAATGTAGTCAATGGAAAACAAAGTCGGTTATATAGATTGTCATTTTAACACAAAGTCAGATAACAGAAATTAACATTTCCTATGCAATCATATACATTGTCACCATGGCTATTGGGTGCTGTTGAAAAGATGACGCCATTTTGGTTCCATTTTTATAATAAACTGTTTGTGTTTCTATTTCAGAACGATCCTGCATTTTAGTTACTTATCGATCACTCAAAGTGGTAGTTATCCCTCAAATGCAGGACTATTACCAATGTGAGGGGTTTTGCCAACCTGATTTAGGAACCATCTGGACTATTACACACATACGGGGTTGTGCCCAACATGATTACGTTTGTACATACTCCGATGGGATCTGAATTTCCATCGGTGATTTCCTTTTGTCTTGGTCCAAGACAAGACAAACTAAAATCGCTGGTAGATAGTCATATTCAGAACCCTTCTGACTAGTTGATGCACACCTGACACTGAAGCTCAATGTTTTTGTCAAAGCCTAAATTTTAGCTAATTATTTTACCTTTTCTTTAATGTCCTTTACTTTGTTTTCAAATTCGGTTTGCTGTTCTGGTTCCAAACAGACATTTGGGGGCATTTCAAATATGTTGTCTTCTGGTCCACGTTTCTTGATGGAGGCTGCCATCTTTGTTGTGTGCAAAAGAACGTAATGCATTGTGGGTGATCAAATCACCCTGGACTAGGGGAGACAAATCTTATGGGGGAACACAACGAGAAAAAAATCCGAACTCATGGTATTATAAGCTCTATCAACAAGGGGAGCGGGGTATAATGCAAGACAAATAGTAAAATATGTATGATACAACATTGTTGTTCGTTAATAGTCATATCGACGGTACTAAAACGATGCTAACAAGTCTGTAAATATAGAAATTCACTAAATCATGTTTCTATTACCCTCTTCACATATAGGTCTTCCCAATCTGGTTTCCGATGGTATGAGGATTGAGGAATCCACATTCTTTCCTTCGGTAAATAAACTTATCTTGTCTTTGATGAATACTGTAATCGTGATAACATAACTTTTAAATTTCAGCTTAAACACTGTCCTTTTGATAAAAGAAGTATCTTGTATCATAGATATATCGATATTGTAATTTTTTGTTGTATATACTAATATAAATATAGTGGCTCATAGTCTGCGTCCATAATGTATCATATAAAATCATATTGAATCATAGATTTTATCAATGTCCTCGTCGAAGAGACTAAATTCCGGATCGTAGCTCATGCTTTTGATTTGATTAGTTCATGTAACCATTCGAGACACCTCGGGTTTCTTCATAGGACATCAACAAAAAAGCAACGTGTCCGGATTGTATGCCTGGCAACGACAAAACAAGATGGCGAAGGTGGTCATTGCAGGTACGAAATGCTTTGATATTTTCATACTTTTACTTTATTAATGATCACTAATAGTCTTGTATGATATTTCCCCAAAAATAATGGTTCCAGCTTCTTATGTGACATTAACTATATTCCTGTTGATCGATAAACATTACTTAAAACAAGACACAAATGCAGAAGTGCACTACGATGATGATTAGATTTTGTTATGTTTTGTGAGTTAACTCTAGTTTAATGTTTAATAATTGTCGGTTTCTGATTGTTGGAAATATGCTTCCCTACCTTTATCGTTTTAAGGGAAAGCTGACTGTCCTTACTATGCCAGATGCGAGCTTCTTGGAGACAAACTTGCAAGAAATCTCCCGGACTTCAAGCTCCACAAAATTGTGAAACAGACAAATGATTGGGAGGTGAGATTTTAATCTATAGAAATTCGACAATTGCAGCATCAATGCAGAGAAGATAATCAATATACCTTGGTCTGTTGATTCAAAGTGAAAGAAATTAACCAGATTAGATTTGTTCCATGGGTTAAGTGTTTGAATAAATGTGATTTTCAATACAGTGAAACTATGTGTTATACCTCTTTAATTTCTTTTAACATGTATGCAGTTTCGGAAGTTAAATCTCATGTTATTAACATTTTGCCAATTTCTGGTATAAACATTTGCTGTTTTCCCCTGTTATAGACTTATACTGTAATATCTGTTTCATTTGCATTCATGAATATAGCAAAATATTAGATGATTTTTGCATAGATGGATTATCCATACAGCCCAGCATTGTAGATGCAGAACTCAATACATCCATCTGTATGTCATTCTGTCAATTATGTTGTTTGCACCCAGAGATGTAATATTTTAAGAATGGTATTTCTAACGTAACAAAGTGTATATTTTTATGGTTACTTTCTCTTTTAAAAGAATTGGTTAAAGACAACTTGTAAAGAACGTGGATGGGCACACATGAAATCACCCATAGTATGGAGAGAGCTGATCGATCGAGGAGGGAAAGGCGTCTTGATAGGAGGTGCTAATGAGTTCCAGGAATATGCCTATGGATATTATGGCATGGAATCAGAACTTCTTAGCTCTGATATGCTTAAAATCTCTAAAGAAAACCTCCAATACAAAAAAGAAGTGGATGAAGAAGAGAAAGAAATCAAAGCTCGGAGTAAACCTCTTCATGTATGTGTCACTGTTGCTTCAAACCCTGTGTGTTATGCCATGGTAAATGCCATTGCCAAGGGAGATGTATTTGGTAGCAAACAGGAAGTAGCTCTCCATTTATATGATGCAAATGACCAAATGGAAATGCTGGAAGGATTAAAGATGGAGGCATATGATCTGGCCCATGGACTTCTCAGGGACGTGACTGTCCAATCAAATGTGCGTAAAGCTTTCAGTAACTGCAGTGCAATCATTTTATTGGATGAAGTTGTGAGAAAGGATGGGGAAGATAAAGACACATGGTATAAAAGAAATTCCAAGCTATTTTCTAGTTATGCTAAAATTATAAATGAGGTTGCCAGAAAGAATGTGAAGGTTCTCCTGGCAGGAAATGGACCAGTCAATTTTAATGTTTTTATGATGATTCAAAACGCTCCAGATATCTCCCGACAAAATTTTGCAGGATTGTCAAGAATGGTGGAAAACCATACAAAGGCTGTGATTGCTGACAAGCTGAACGTGAATTCTGGTGGTGTTGTGAATGTTACAATCTGGGGAAATGTCAGTGGTGAATACTACATTGATCTTGAAAACAGTCGTGTCCATGGTTATGAGGGGGCAATCTGGGGGCCGCCAACTTTCTCCTTGCCAACCAAGGAGATGATCTGGGACAAGCAATGGCTTGCCAAGGAGTTTCCAGAGATTGTTCGAACAAGGAAAGCTGTAGTGGAGGAAGCGTTGATGCATGGGGCATACATGTCGAAGGCAGCAGCCATATCCACTATGATTAGCCACTGGTGGAGTGGCTCTCCTAGTGGACAAACCTTCTCTTTAGCAGTTTGCTCAGATGGTAAGATCAATAATAACAATTGCTGTAAGACTCACAAATTTTGGGATCATCATAGCACTTGTTACATTTAGAAAAAAGGGTGATATCTGCAACAAATGTTTGGGTAAAAATATCTTCAGCAGAGATGTACTATCTAAAATGTTTTGCATGTGCTTTTAGAAATTCTAAGATAAAGATTTGGCTAATCCAGTTGAAAAAGACACTTCTATCACTCGATAATCATTGGGTAGAATATTTTGATTTCAATGAATATAATGTATTTGTACATGTATATTACAAAACCAGTTGTAATCCATGGTTTTTATCAATTTATGTGTTGAATCAGTTATATTTTGTCTCAAATTAATACAGTTAGATGTAAAGATAAAAACATAATTCTTTAGATAATAACATGAGAAATGCATCATTCCAAGTTTCAGTTATGTGATCTGTTAACTTTTATTGAACTTGCAAAACATATATTTTTATCTGTGCCAATTAATATTGCAGCAATTCAAATTCTGAAGTGTTTTTAATACATATTGGCCATTATGCTAAGCAAGCCTGAAAGCTTTGAGAAAACTAAACACATTTTCTGTACAGCTATTGTGAAACCTAAGTTTTATGTTGCTGTTTGTATGTTTTTCTTGGTCAGGTTGGTATGGTGTCCCGGCAGGACTTGTCTATTCCTTCCCTGTAACTATGCACCCCAAAGGCTACTGGTATGTCGTAGAGGATATTGACCTTACAGATGAGGTCAAAGAAAAACTCAAGGTCACCGTGCAGGTGAGATATTTTCTACACATGAACAAAAGATTTTTCTGATTGTTTTCATTTTTCTTTTTTTTTTCAATTTTTTTTAAAAATAGATTTTCAGGATTGAAACACTTCATTTTTTTCTAATGTTACAGTAGAAATCAATGGCTACTTAATAAGAATTCAGAACTTTTTTCTGTATACTTGACAATTTGTCAAATAGCGTCTTGTAAAGATTTTACCATGAATAATCAATTAACCATTTGAATCTTTCAATGGAAAATAAATAGCCAATTACCAAACAGAACAGTTATCATTTAAATATCAAATAATTTTTCAACAGTCAAAAAACTAAAAATATCTGAAATAATCATTTATCTTAATTATAGATGGTTGAAATGTTTGATGGCATTGAACATCATTGAAATCATCTTTAGAAATAATAGGTCAGAGATGATTCTGATACAGCATTGCAATCATGAATATACTTTGGTTGACAAATAGTGAAGGTATCAAAGAATTCAAAAAGGAAATAAGTATATTACCACAATATTTATGAATATTGAAGTTTACCTAAATCTTTAAACTTTTATTGTCACTTGGTTCACAATCAGAGGGTACTCATCTTCTGTGAGCTTCACCATATAATAATAATCTTCATTTTTCCCACTACAAATACATGTCAAGCCAAGGCTTATCTAACATAAGGTCCTCTAAAATATTAGTAGTAAATCATTATTAAATATTAATATTTAGTAGCTCTACTGTATTTCATACAAATGAGTGTATTTGTTTCATACCCAGACTAGTGTTTAGCAATTTCCTTCAAGTTCACCAACACTATTGTCAATATTTGTCAATTTTCCTGCAGGATTTGGTGTCAGAAAAGGAAATAATATATCCTCCACCGAAACCTCCAACCCCTCCCCCAGGAGAGGTCAAGGTCACAATCATTGACCCTAAAGAGGAAGCTGAAGCCTCAGCGAAAGAGGAGGAAAAGAAAGTTGAAACAGAAGAGGAAGGTAGGGATGTCATGAATGTGTCTTGATGCATGATTTCTTATCTATTAATATGTAAGAAATAAATGGCTCTCAATGAGGGAGTTCTAATGTATAACAAGCTTATATTTCTATTGTTTGATTTTTGTAGGTAGCACATCAGGGACATCTGATTCTGCTGTAGAGGTTGATTCTTCTAATGAACCAAAGCTGGAGACCATTGTTGAGGAAAAGGGTGCAGTTGATGCCAATGGTAATGCAACAAACAGCAGCACAAATGAAGAGAAGGGAGACGACTCTGGACAAGAAGCCGCTCCAACTGAAGAACCAACAACAGAAGCACCACCTGCTGAATGATTATGACTCACAAAGCAAATTCAAAATCAGGTTTCATACTGAGTGTGAAATCCATCAGCTGAACAGCTGAGATCATTTAAGACTTTGTTTAAGACTTTGTGGAACTTACAAAACACCTCATGACGTGTACTTGTTTTTGTTTTCACTTGACAAGCTTATCTAATAGTCTGTACATGCTGCACAGCTCCAAGGTTGCCTCAATATTGACAGGCATGTTCTGCCTGTGTTTTCTCTGATAAGTTCCAATACAATCCTATGATATATCTTACACAGTGGCAAAGAAATACCTTTCTATAATTTTCAAATATAGATAGTTTATATTCTTTAACTTGATTGGACTTTACCTGTTTATAGATATTATTTCCTATAACAGAAATGATTTTTTTTTTTGTAAAAAAAAAAACCGTAAACTTTTTTTATTGTCAATCAATATTAAAAAAATAACATATGGTCATGATTATATAATAAATTTTACCACAAAACCAAAAAGGGCAGCAGAAGGGAAGAATAATGAAATAATAGAAATTTAATCCAGTAGGAAATCTTGGAAATATTTTTTCTGACTGTGATGAAAGTTTCACTACTGTACATGTCAAGTGTACATCTGTATATACTTATATATTTGTAAATATACATTTACATGTTTTGAATAATAGTTGATATAAAAATTGTAAGATTCTCTGTTATTATTGTATTTGTATATTTATCATCAATATTTCAATACTAAAAAATAATTTAGAATTCAAATTTTGTTTTATTTTCATTTTTAACAAAGGGTTAGAACGATATAAGATAAAGCTATCTGTCTTATTGAAAGCCAGATTTACTTTAGACCTCACTATATAAATCAAGCTTGCACATTTCATAATTTATACTGAATTAAAGTAAACCACAGACCAATAACCCAATTGTCATATCTGGTAATTACTTGACAATATTCTTCAGAGTTATCTCCCTTCCATGATTCAGGTGTTTGGCTTTTCTTTGTTTTAAACTGTTAAGATTTGACATGAGTATTAAGATCACTAATTAGTACTATGATACTGAGAATCTATTTCATTGCACATCAGTAAGAAGAACTCTCATGACTTTTTCAAAATCGGATAAACAGTTTGGTAGTAGTATCTAACATGGCATAGTATTATAATTTTCCCACTCCAGTTATTGCAAGATTGATTTATGTAGGCACTTAAATAGGGCATCTAGTAAATTCCTATCAAGCAGCAAAATGTTTGGCCTAGCAGTCAAGAGCTACGATAGCTCAGTCATCAGAGTATCACACTTTTCGACTTTGGGTGAAGTGTATCAGATGTGGTTTGATCACAACCTACACTGTTGAGGGGGTTCTGTTCTGTTCATAACTGCATTCATGAGCAAGACACTTAACCCCAATTTCTCTAGATAGCATGTGGTGGTCCTCCCACATATTGTTCAGTGAGGTAGCCACAAAGAGCAGCAAGCTGTATTTTATTGTTTTGTATCCTGTGTGTCTGTATTGAGCTCGCTTATATACATTTAAAAGTTGACACAATTTGTTTTCATTTCTTTTATTTCCAAACTATATCTTTTTCAAATCATGCATCACATAGCTTTGAACATCAAAACAAAGCACATTAAGATATAGACATACATTTTGTATTTACATATTTTTATATTGCAAGAATTCTATGAAATCCAAATTTCTAAATTTCTACAAAAAAAGGGTAAAATATTTTGTTCAAGAGAAAGATGAAATGTCAGTAAGCTGAGGTGGACAAACAGAGATGGACAAAGCTCTGTGCTTGTCCTTCAGGAGTTTATACATTTTCAAACCCCTACATCCATATAGCTACATGTATTGGTATAACAAATATAACGTAGAAATTAAACATCATCATTAATTACTTCATTTTTAGTGTCACTAAATAATGAAAATTGAAAAAGAAAGTAGATACTTGTTTGTGAATCCGTCTGCTATGACTTTATTGTCAGAATTTTTATGTGGAATTTGTGGCATGTCATACCGGGAAATTTAGAGCAGGGATGTACTTTGAAACTCTATCTTTAGATTATTCAAAAACAAAAATAAAAATAAATTGCATATATATATATAATGTGTAATGTGACAGTAAAACAAACAAATCATCAATGTTTTGAATCTTTCTGTATAATACATGATAAATCACTTGACAAAAAAAAAAAAAAAATGAATGAAAATAACAATGAAGTAATGTGTCAAAAGAATCAGCTTGACAAATTATTAAACCTTGTTGGTGAATCTATCAATTCTATAACAGTGTGTTTGATCTTTTACAGTTCACCACTGAAATGTATATACAGCAGACATTTGAAGAAAATATTACATGTTGTCAGCAAATAGTTCAGTGCTGATGTATCTATAATATACTGAAAAATTGTAACTTTTTGTGGGCAATCTAGTTTTATTGATTTCAAGGGTATACCCCTAATCCACAAATTTGTATGTCCTCAAACAGTTGAAACTAGTATAAGTAGATTTATAGAGCTATACATATTCACAAACTGAAAAGTCCAGTCCAAGAAAAAGTTTTATTTTGAAAAACACTGAATAGTGAGCTGAGCTAAAATGTTTTCTAACAGTATATAGAGATGTGATCTGGTGTCTAACAAAGTTTTATCAAATACGAAAATACAATATATATACAGTTATCAATTGAAATGAAAGCTGTGATAAAAAAAATTGTAAAATGAATCATTATCAGCTGAATCAACTATAATCTTAAAAATGGAAAATTGGGAACTCTTTTAACAGAGAAAAAATTATCAACTTTATCTCAAGTGAATAGATTAGAGATGGAAATTTCAAAGTTGATCTTATTTATAGTAATTTAAGTTAGAAATTTTGTACTTTCGTAACAAGAAAATTCGAAACACAGGATTGATTGTGAAAAATGTTAAAGATCGAATTCACAGCTGAAAAAAAAATCCTCCAGCAAATATATCATTTTTAAATTGTGACTAAAACAAAAGAATAACATGAATGGACTGATTAATACCCACAAGTCTGTCCACATTATGGAGGGATTCGCTTTCTGGCCTGGTATTTGATGTTCCTCACTCGATGTGACAAACTCTTTGAAAACATACTCTGAAAAACATGAAAATATATCAAATTGAAAATATGTTAAGACATACAATCATATCCTGTATACCATTACCTGTATATAAATATAGTGACTAATTACCATACTAATGCTGCTGTAAGCCCAGGGATCCAACATATTTCTTCCCACTGAAACTTAGGGTGGGCTTATTAGCAGGCATGGGCTTATTAAGATACATACAGTAATTGACAGATAAATACACCAGAATAAATGGGATACATACCAGGCAAAATTATGAGAGAGATCAAATACTTATCACAAATAATTTATGAGGTATACCGTGTACATGTTTATTCCAGTAGACAATGACTAGACAAATTTCCTTAATTCAAATGATGCAGAAATATTGTTCCTGTGATACTAAAATTCTTAATTTATTAATCAATTAAAAAAAACTTACTACAGAAATCACAGGATACAATTATTACTTAATAGTCTATTAATAATAAGTGATGAATTGATATCAGAAATACAATACTTATTTCAAATTATTTGTTTACCATGGTAAAAAGTCTCCTGATAGCAAGAATGATCAAATCATAAATATTATGTACTAATTACTTTAACCTCATTAAATCTGACAGTTTTCACAAAAATTTTGAAATTCAAAATTATCAATACACTATTACTTTAACATGAAATCACCATCCCATATTACAAATGTGAAACTTATATAGATTTTCTGACAATGCCTTGAATGAAGCGAACTAAGTTTTGTACAACTCCAGACCAATGAATCATTTAATAAGTATCTGTTATAACACAGAGAAACACATCTCTGTGTATTTCTGTATTGATCAAGTAAAACTCCAGTCTAAAGTCCATCAGTAGTAATCACACATGCAAACATCACTTAAGTTTCCAAGACAATTCCAGGAAAATCAGAAGTAATTGTTATTGCTTAAGGCAGAAGAGAGAAGTCCAACTAGAGCAGTAAATTTTCACAAGATCAGTTACAGGATGCTTATGTTCCAATAAAATCTAATTTTGTAGGATCCGATTCGGCTGCTGATGTGTTCCAGGAGGTACCGATAGATCGAGTCTTTGCTTTCTGGTAGTATTTTATGTTAGTCACACTGCGAGCCAAAGCTTTGGAAAAGGCCATCTGAAATCAAATCAAAACACATGCATGCTAATGAAGTTTGCTTTCTGGAAAATTTCTAAATGGAGCATTGTTTCCTGGAATCTCAAAAGGATTCTTTTAGAGAGAAAATGTGAACTTTTTGTATTAAGACAGTAGGTTAATACAATCCATAAAACAAGTGTTATTCAAAGGTACCAAGGACAGGTACCAGGCCATTAATTTTATAAATCACTTGATAAATCTATCTCAATTTGAAAGACTATCATCATATAAAACCCCCTCAAAAAATAATTGTACACTAATCATCAGGGATTTCGAAAATTTACCTTGGATTTTCACGTTTTGTTTACAGTGATTTGCATAGGTTAATGCCCACAAGAGGTAATGAAGACTAAAACAGCTTGAACTGTTTTGATGTAATTATGGTATTAATTAACGACTTTTGAATTCGTAATTTTTTCTAATGAAGTGATTTTTTTTTCATTGAGTGATTAACACAATCACCTTGGTTACGTGGCCTGTGCTGCGTACTTCATCTTGCGCTTGGTATTATAGCGAATGTTGTATATACAGCGTGTGAGAGACCTCTGAAAGTCATCCTGCAAGGAAAACATCAGCAGGTCAGAAACATCACTAATAAACAACAGACTCTATAACGACCAAAGACACTGAGAAGAAACATTTAAAATTTGACAAAACTGTTCAGTTCCAGATTCAGTACTAAAGCAGATACTAGATATGAACATATTGATTCCTGAATTAATAAAGAATAAGAATAGTTTAATGGTTTAAAA